CATTGAGTATAAGGATAGACAAGTAATGCTGCAGCTTTATAGAACTTATTGCATACAGTTCTGCTCACCACACTATCAGAAGGATGTGAATGCTTTGGAGAGGGTATGGAGTTTAGCTTTGAAGAAAGGTTGGATAGCAGGAACGCTGATGCCTCAGGCCTAGACCCTTCATCAGAAAGGAGCATTCCTGCTCCTATGATGCTGCTTGGCCTGCTGTGTTCATCCAGCTCTACACCATGTTATGACAGATTAGCAGCATGTGCAATCTTGTGACGTTTTCAGATCCTACTGTACGTGGCTCTCTGTGGAAACGTGCGCTCTGCAGGACAAATATGCAGATCTTGGGAAGAATTGAGTAGGGTGGCTTAAAAGTGAGAGAGGAAAATTTCTTGCATCAGAAGTGATATTCAGTGCGGCAGCGTTTAAAAGGACAGACGTGAGCTTCACCCTTTAGATCAGTCAGTCGGAGGTCCGTAGCCCATGATGTCAGGCTGGGAAGCTGCCATCACAAAGCTACTCCATCCCCAGGAGGCAATCTATCTCCTTGCATAAGACCCAGAAGATTTCAAGAAATCAAGGCAAACTGATGAAAGAAATGATTCTTTTTTGTACTGCCTGGTGGGGCAATGCAGTCTCAGCCTTAGATTCTGATGACTGCTCCTTTTCCAGAGTCCCAGTCAGTAACTATTCTGAATGGAGTGGGTAATAAAACATGGCAAGTGTGTTGTGCCATGGAACAATTAAGAAATAACTTCTGCTGACTATGACAAAAAAAAAGCTAGTACCATGAAAAAATGATGGAAGCATAAACTATTAGACCAAGATACTAAATAAAAACCGAAAGAACTGCGGGATGCTGTAAATCAGGAACAAAAACAAAATTGCTGGCAAAGCTCAGCAGGTCTGGCAGCATCTGTGAAGGAAAAAACAGAGTTAATGTTTTGGGTCTGGTGAGTTCTGAGGACGGGTCACCGGACTTGAAATGTTAACTCTGTTTTTTCCTACACAGATGCTGCCAGACCTGCTGAGCTTTTCCAACATCTTTGTTTTTGTTTGACCAAGATATTACTCAGTGTCACTTTGGTAAACTAAAATATTGGCAAAGTTACTCTTTAAACATAGACTTGTTTTTAGTAATAGTATTTAGTCTCCAAACATCTCTTTGAAGGTACAGTAGAGACTGCATTACCAGTCCAGTAACATATGTCACGATATGAACCTTGCTGTTGGATAGCTCACATCTAATGCATCAGTGGCTATTCCATATTCCCTTTCACATCACAGAGAACCCATTCAACTATCTTAGGTCACACAGTATGGAGCCGGAGGAACACAGAAACATTGGGTTCCAACCCGAAACTTCAACTTTCCTGCTCCTCTGATGCTGCCTGGCCTACTGTGTTCCTCCAGCTCCACACTGTGTTATCTCTGACTCCAGCATCTGCAGTTCTTGTTATTCCCCATTCAGCTGTCCTGTCTCTTTCGTGAAATTTGAATAGTTCATTCTCTCGTAGGCTGCAAGTAGTTTTGGAAGTAGCTTGCACGTGTCTGATAGAGCTTCTTAATTATGTGTCTGAAGATGGGATTAATTAAATTCCTTTTTCTTGTAAACTCTATTTTGCATTGGAAATAGCAGCAGCCAGAATGTGATGCAGACAGGTTGTAGCACTTTTGTTCCTGGTGACTACTAGTATGCATTCAGTGACCATTAACACAGGAATGCCCTGGACAACTTTAGAACAAAGGCACTTCAGCTGGTGTGCTTGTGACATGGTGACTGGAAACACAGCATGAACCTCTCATACCAACCATCGTTTTTGGATTTGACGTTTGACATTTTACAGTCAGGTGACCTTCCTGATCCCCAACTCTTCCCTGTTTGTCACGTTTGAAACTAGCAGTACGACACATGACCTACTTACACCACTGGCTCTTTTAAAATAAAAATTGTTTACAGGATGTGGCCCTCAATTGCCCACCCCTGATTGCTCAGAGAGCCAACCACATTGGCTGGGGGTCTGGAGTCACATGTAGGCCAGACCAGGTAAGGATGGCAGATTTCCTTCCCCAAAGGTCATTAGTGAACCAGGTGGGTTTTTACGATAACCAACAGTGGTCACCAATGGGCTAGCTTTTTACTCTAGATTTTTTTTTATATAGAATCCCTACAGTGTGGAAACAGGCCCTTCGGCCCAACAAGCCCACACCGACCCTGAGAGCATCCCACCCAGACCCATCCTATTCTACACATCCCTGAACACTACGGGCAATTTAGCATGGCCAATCCACCTAGCCTGCACATCTTTGGACTGTGGGAGGAAACCGGAGCAAACCCACACGGACACGGGGAGAATGTGCAAACTCCACACAGACAGTCGCCCGAGGCTGGAATTGAATCCGGGTCCCTGGCACTGTGTTGCAGCAGTGCTAACCACTGAGCCACCATGCAGTACATGTCTAACAAGGTGGGATTTGAACCCATGTCACCAGAGCATTAGCCTGGGCTTCTTGATTACTAATCCAGTGATGTTATCAATATGCCACCAAAATCCCAAATGGATTAGTCCGGGGTACCTGGGATTAGTGATGGCAGAAGATGGAAGTTTGGAAATGGAGATTAAGCAAATGATTAGCTTTAGTTGGACTGATTGGAAAAGGTGCAATGGAATGTTGTGTGATAGATAGATAGATATTAGTGATAAGAGACATTTACAGGATGGTTGTGAGACTGGCCTTGCTGTATTGGGCAACATCAAGAACAACAATTGGATACTAATAAAATTCAGACACTGAGATGATGTCTGAAGTAACAAGAAAGGGCAAAATCAGAAACCAGCACTTCAAAGGGTCTGTGAAGGTATGGCAGCATCGAAGGAAGCAGCCAAGAAGAGATTGAAATGGTCTGGTCATCTGTTGTGATCTGAGGGTGGAAATGAGGTAGAGCAAGTAGCAGAGATGCAGGAAGGAGGAAGAAAGATGTCTCTAAGACCAGATGGAAGGATATGACAGTGCAAGAGTTAATGCAGTGGGACTGGCAGAGGAATGGGTGAACAATGGGAGGAGAGGGAGAAATCATTGTGGTAACCCGGTGGAAAATAGGACAAGGCACAGGACAAAGCAAGGCTAGCCAATTGTAAATCCTAAAGTATAAACATATATATTACTCTTAAATACTGTGTATGTTGACATTTCTGTACAGTTCCATAAATGTTAAAGTAAGAAAAAAACAATTACCATCGCACACAGCACGTGAACTGGGTCAGAGCATCAGTATTGGTTGCTGCTAAAACTGAATAAGTTCCAGTGATTTTGAATTAGGGTTAGTTATTGCTGGCACAGGATTGCTATTGTTATGATCACAGCTGAAGATCCCATAATTAAATCTGACTTGATAGATTGTATTTTTCAATATGGTTTTAACACAGTTGTCTTCACTGAAACACAAGTGCTGCAGATTTGGTTTTAATGATAAAACAGAAGTTTACTACACAAAAGAAATGAAGACAAAGTAGAATAAACTAAGTTATATATATTTAACACAAGTTTAAAGATTTCAAACCATACGTCAAAGTACAATTCTATAAATTTCAATATCACTCTTCAATACCTTCTCAATCATATCTATAAGGATTAAATTAATGGGTGCTTCAATTCTCAGCCTTGAAAACATAATAGACTCTTCCTTAAGTCTTTATAGACATGAGCGTAAGTTTACTCAGCTTCAGATAAGTGCTTCATGGTTTTAACTAAACAGTTCTGGTCTGGAATTTTTAAATTAAATTCCTTAAACCGAGGTAACCTTCCTTCTAGAAGAGAAACTGTTTTGTACAATCAGTTTCAACCAGGACTTCTGCAAAACTGAAGCCAGAAGGTCATTCCAAACTATGGGTGATTTCTCCAACAGTGTTCCCTCCTCTCAGGTCTGTGCACACATTCACTTCTAGTTTCTCCAATTGCTGCTGCGCATGGACCTCAGAGATCCAGGCAATGGTTCACAAAATTGGAGGGAACAAAGCCCCTAAACCAAAAAAATACATACTGGATCTTTGTAACTGAAGCTTAATGTACTACACTGTTCACCTTGTTCGCTCATCAAACCTCTCCCAATGTAAACAAATTCCCATTACCCTCCAAGAGCAATACCATTCACTTTTTTTTAAAAAACAAACAATGACTTTAGAATGTGTTGCAAGTTAATCATTAAACCCCTTCTCTCTTGTGCTCTCTCACTTTCACTCACACACACACACATGCTAAATCCCCATGCTACAAATTCAAAGTCTAGATTCCAAAATAAAGGGTATATATCTCACTTACTTTACATTATCTGTTGAAACAGTTGGTGTACATGTAGTTAACAATCAACATTTGAATTAGACATCAAGTATGAGCATATGTGTGTATATATACTGATCTGATTTTGAATAACAATAACATTAAAATAAATGTTTTGATTGAGTTCAGATAGAACAAATGTTAAACCATCCATTGATTTCTGTCCCATCCACACCCTTTATGACATGCTGGTGCAAAAAGAATGTGTTTATTTTTTGTGCTGTTTTATTTCCATGTTGTCTGTCTCCTGTTTGTAACGGCTGTTCGTTCTCCGCAATGCTACTGCGCAATGAGTGCCAGCATCCGCGCCCGATGCCGGCGATGACAGTAATGGTCTTACAAAGAGTCAGTCCGCTGTCTTGCATTCAACCGAGTCAGTTCACACTGATCATCTCCCTGAGATGACGTCCAGTAAGTTAGCAGCAATTACTACCCTGTTTGCTGCCCTCCGGTGTGCGTTGTGTGATGTCGAGTACTCACCTCAGGTGCGGGTTTTGCATGCCCAGTGGAAATTGGATTGTAATCCTAGGCGTGTTAGTCAGCTGATTTTGAAGATTTTTCTCACATGGACTTTGCAACCTACTTTGCAAACATAAAGCTTTGTAAGTGTGTGTGCTTGTAGCCAATGATAAACTTACAAAGGTGTGCAGTTTGCTTTAGATAACAATGTATAATAACGATCCATTTAGCTTGGTTGCCTTTACTTTAATGAGCCTTCTAAGCTACAAATGTGTATTATCTTTTCCACCTACAAAGCTAACAGCTACCCATTATTATCAGCATTGCAAAGAAGCATGCACAGAACTTATAGGTTTGTGCATTGCTATTACCTGACTAGCTTGCTCCTGTGCACTCTCCAGTGGCTGTTTTACAGAGTAGCAATAGAAGGAGGCTGAGTCAGCTGCCTCTTTGACCTAGTCTGTGCAGTAACCCATCTCCCCTGCAGTAATACGGTAGACACACCTCTCTCTTTATCTCTGGTCACCCTCATATAGAGTTTGTTGTAAGCCTCTAAGTGGAGAGTCCATATTTATTACACTGATATTACAGTAGAAGACTTTTTTAAGATCAGCAATGGAATTTTGATCTACTGGGTCTTCTCCAAAGATATTCAGAGTGACAGAAAAGGATGTAAAACTTCATCATTCGGTGTTCTTTATGGATTTTAGATGACATGAAATTACTTAGAATTTACCCTGAAATTTGACCCAAATGGCTTCCCCAAAGTCTATCGTGCGTTGAAAGCAAACATAACTTGATAACAACCAAAAAAGAACTGTGGATGCTTTCAATCAGAAGCAAAAGCAGAAATTGCTGGAAAAGCTCAGCAGGCCTGGCAGCATTTGGGGAGAGAAATCAGTGTTAATGTTTCGGGTCGATTCTGAGGAACAGTCATTCGACCGGAAATGTTAGCTCTGATTTCTCTCCACAGATGCTGCCAGGCCTGCTGAGCTTTGTCAGCAGTTTCTGTTTTTGTTTGTAACTTATTAAACGTTGCGCATAATTTAGATGCCTGACACAGGGTTCATGTTTAGGGTTTGACACTGTTCTCATTCACAGGCAGCAGTGCCTTGTCTATGATTAAGTGATTAAGCTGCGAGTAATGCGTTCGATCAAAATCGACCAATGTCCTTATCATCAACAGTGCAACATCATCGATTTATACTTGGCTTGCTGCTAATTAATCACAATTTGCCTACCTCACTCTAAGCTATTGACACTGACATCTTGATAAATTCATCCACTTGAAAACCCCCAATATCTTCATGATTAATAACTCACACCGTTCCCCATTTAACATACACTTCTCCTCCTATGCTCCTGTAAAAATCAATATTGCATCAAAATCTATTTGCTGAGGAGGGAACTTTATCTTTTTGAATCCACTGGGACTGCTCTTTATGATGCAACCAATGCCCTGTTTTGGTATCATTTGCAAAGAGTGCATTTTTCTGACGGTATGAGTATCTAAATCATAAATAGCAGTGTCCCCAGACAGCTCCCTGAGGTTTGTTTTATTATTATTTCCTGGGATGTGGGCATTGCAGGCTAAGTCAGCATATTTGGTCCAACCCTAATTGCTCTTGAGAAGTGGTGATGAGTTGTTCTCTTGCACTACTGCAGTCAACCTGATGTATCTCCTCCTTTCGTGATCTTTTAGTTTCAATTTGAAAATGTTTTGCTTAAAGGTGCTTTCAATTTTCCAATCTAGCGTCATATTGTCCCTCTTCTTCTGCTGTTCCAATTGAAAGGTAGGATATCCAGCACAGGTTTCTGTCCTTCATGGTAGCTATTATGGTGTAAGGACTTTGGGACCTTGGAACCACTTTGTAATGATGTCACAGAGCTGCACATCACTGTGTATAAATAACACAGTGTGGATGGATTCACAACAGATCAAACAACAGACTAGACTAAACTACATGGGAACTAAAAAAAGTCTTGTGAGCACTTGGACAGGAACACCACAGAAGATAGATTATTCCTTAACTATATATCAAGCTTGGTATATCTATGATTACCATGAATAGCAGTATTTAGTATCAATGTGTAAAATATAATGTTTACTATTAATGAACGTTAATAATATTAATGTAATAAAGTAAAAGAAGTTGTACTTTCCCAAATAACTAACACCACTTAGTAAGCAAAAAAGTAATTATCAATGATACATTGTTTCTGATATCATTTACCAACTCACACCACTCCCTGTACAATAACAGTCCCTGGGTTGGTGTCTGGCTAATACCAGAAACCACCGTCTCAGGTCTTGGCATCAAGCACAATGGCTACTACAACAACAACCTGCATCTCCGCAGTGCCTTCAATGTAGCGAAACATTCTATGTCGGTTTGCGGGAGGGTAATCAAAAAGTATTCACACTGAATCCAAGGTGAAAGGTGTGTTCAAAAGGTTGGACAAAGAGGAAGCTTTTAAGGAGCTTCTTAAAGGAGGAGAGAGAGAAGGTGCAGAATTACACCAACAGCTCAGCTTCACTTCCCACACTGGCTGAGGTTGCCACGGAGGTCCCTCCTTTTCAACCTCTCCCCTCCTCTGAGGTGCAGTGACCCACAAGGTAAACCCCCACCAGTTATCTCTCTCTCGTCAGAGAGCAGCCCTGTGGTCCTCTGGAACTAAGGTGACTTTATTGTTCATTCTTTAAAAGCAGGAGATTAAGGCCTCCCTGGAACAAGCTTGGAGATTGTGTCAGGAAATCAGAAATCTTTGCATGTTTTGGGATAATATCCACAGTGTACACTTCTCCCAACTGCTGATGTCTTTAGTTGCCATAAAGCCACAAGAAATAGAAATTGATGTAGGCCATTCGGCCCCTCAAGCCTGCTCCACCATTCAGTTGGATCATGGCTGATCCAATGCTCCTAACGTTCCCTTTCCCCGTAGCCGTTGATTCCCCAACTGATCAAGAATCTATCTCAGCCTTAAATATACACAAGGACTCTTCACCCACAGCTCTCTGTGGCAAGGAGTTCTAAAGACTAATAACCCTCTGAGAGAAAAAAATTCCTCCTCATCTCGGTCTTAAATTGGCTCCTTTAATTTCAGACCATGCCCTCTGGTCCTAGACTCTTCCATTAGGGGAAACATCCTCTCAGCATTTACCCTGGCACGCCATAGAGTCATAGAGATGTACAGTATGGCAACAGAAGTCCATGCTGACCAGATATCCTAAATTAATCTAGTCCTATTTACCAGCATTCCGCCCTTATCCCTCTCAACCCTTCCTGTTCATATACCCATCCTGGTCACTTTTAAATGTTGTAATTGTACCAGCCTCCACCACTTCCTCTGGCAGCTCATTCCATTCACGCACCACCCTCTGCATGAAAAAGTTGCCCCTTAGGTCCTTTTTAAATCTTTCCTCTCTCACCTTGAACCAATGCCTTTTAGTTTTGGACTCCCCCACCCTGGGGAAAAGACCATGGCTATTCACCCTATCCACGCCCTTCATGATTTTATAAACCTTTATAAGGTATCTCAGCCTCTGGCACTCACAGGAAAATAGCCCTAGCCTATTCAGTTTCTCCCTATAGCTCAAGCCCTCCAACCCTGGGAACATCCTAATAAATCTTTTCTGAACCTTTTCAAGTTTCACAACATCTTTCCTATAGCAGGGAGACCAGAAGTTTATGCAGTATTCCAAAAGTGGCCTAACCAATGTCCTGTACAGCCACAACATGACCCTCCCAACTCCAATGCTCAGTGCACTGACCAATAAAGGCAAGTGTGCCAAACGCCGCCTTCACTCCCCTGTCTACCTGTGACTCCACTTTCAAGAAACTATGAATCTGCACCCCACGGTCTCTTTGTTCGGCAACACTCCCCAGGATTTTACCATTAGGTGTATAAGTCATGCCCTGATTTGCCTTACCAAAATGCAGCACCTCACATTTATCTAAATTAAACTCCATCTGCCACTCCTCAGCCAATTTGCCCATCTAGGTCCCGTTGTACTCTGAGGTAACCTTCTTCACTGTCCACTACACCTCCAATTTTAGTGTCATCTGCAAACATACTGACCATGCCTCTATATTCATATCCAAATCATTTATATAAATAACCACTTAAGAATCCTATACGTTTCAATCAGATCACCTCTCATTCTTTTAATTTACAATCATTAGAGTCCCAAACTATTTAGCCTTTGCTCATAAGACAACCCCTCCATACCAGGGATCATCCTCGGGAATCTTCTCTGAACTGCTTCCAATGAAATAATGTTCCCTTAAATAAGGGGACCAAAACTGCTCACAGTACTTGAGGTGTAATCTCACCAGCACCTTGTACAGTTGTAGTAAGACTTCCTTCCTGTTATTCTCCAATCCCCTTTAAAGAAGGACCAACATTCCATTAGCCTTCCTGAATACTTGCTGCACCTGTGTGCTAGCTTTCTGTGTTTTGTGTGTGTGTCCCTAAGTCCCTTTGAGTTGCAAGTTTCTGCAGTTTTACTCCACTTAAAAAATACTCTGTTCTTTTGTTGTCCCTTCCAAGATGAACAACTTCACATTTTCCCACATTAATACTCCATTTGCCAAGGTTGGCCTGTTCCAACAGAATCCCAGCAAAAACATCTCACCAATGGGTGCAATTTTCGTGTTGCAAATTAACCAGCGCAGAGAAAGCGAATTAATTCTTTTGCAGAAGTGCGAGGAACTAGGATCCAAATGACAAGGAACATTCTGAATGCCTGACAATTAATCTGTAAAGGTGGTTCAGAGAAGGTTCACTTGGCTGATTCCTGGAGTGAATGAGAGGTGATCTTCTTGAAACACAAGTTTCGGAGGGGGGTGCCTGACAGGGAAGATGAGCCCCTCATCGGGTCCGAGAACTAGAGGTTACATTCAAAATTAAGGGTCTTCCATTTCAGATGAAGGAACCTCTTCTCTCTCAGA